CACGGCCTACAAACGACCGTTGTTTTCAGAGCCATTAATACGCAACGGCTGCTAAATAGTTGTTTATTTCGATGTCGTTGCCTAGCAACGGATCTGAATGCCACAATAATTACTACCTCAAAAATTTAAACCAGTTCTTAAGAAAGAGAGTGTGGGTATAGGCTACATTTTCCAGTGTAGAAAGAGTTTCGGTGGTGAGGGTCTTGCGAACGCGGTACATCAGGGTTCAGTAAAAGGAAGGGTGCTTCTTGACTAGCTGAACGACTATGAAGTTCCCAAGAACAGTGATCCATGCAGTTATCTGTAAGAAGTTAATGCATACAAGTCTTATTTTTATACGGGTCTCATTTCCATGGCAGGAGAATCCAGTTACATTCCGTTTTAATCGATTTTATGACAATTAAAATGATATTTCACTATAAGATCAAATGCAGAACAGCAACTAAAACATTTAAATAACTGGAATACTGTTCGTTTTAATCGAAACGTACTAAAATAACAGTTAGATGACCAAATGCAAAAGAATAACTCGATTAGAAACAGCTTCTTCGAACTATAATACACACATTTCAACAGAATATTATGAATTGGTCTTCTGATTTACGTTAAGGTTATGTTCTGAAACTGGGATGTCAGACCATCAGCCAAACTACCATTCGCTGGCAGTTCGATATGATCAGCCACTTACCGGACAGACCCCACTGAAGTGTACTGTCACACCACATGGCCAGTACCATCAGGAATGTTACAGTTGACGTGCAGGAATTTCCTCTCGCATATAGACTTGTAACATCTACAAGCCAACAATCCCTATACTACAAAGAAACTGCGCAGTCCAAACATATCACTTGCGCTGTTGCCTTCTTATGTCGTCCACGTGTATTCCTTCGTGTGCGTTTTAGGTTATTTCTGTCATGTTTTAGGTACTAAGAATTGTCCTTTATACCACAAGAAACCTACTGTACAAGACTTTCTGTTTGTTTCCGAGAACATGCGTACTGGATAGCTGAGGTTTCAATTGTGCTGCACTGTCCACCAGTTCAGTAAAATTTAAGCAATTTTATTACAAATGTTGTCAAATTAATCACACAACTGTTACCTTGCTTTTAAATATGGATCATAAACATAAAATGTTTTGTATACGACGGTTATTCGGAAAGTAATTTGCGGTGAGCTGTTAACAAAACAAGAAATAAGAAGAAATTTTTTTATATAATAAAAACACGTACACACTTAAGCTACTTCTCAACGAAATCATCGCCGGAACTGAGGCACTTGTCTGTCAGGAAATAACATTCCGTATATCTGTGTCCCCCCTCCTTGGTGCTCCACCTTATCGTGGTGAGGGGGTTTGAGTATGCCAAGGACCCTGAGAGCTATACCAGCGGTAGCGTAGCTACGGGCAGAGCCTCCCTTGCTGGACAGGTCAAAGGGTAGGCATCAGACGAAGAGAGACACCAAAAACTGATGTCGGAAGCAGCGTCATCAGCAGCGACTTGAAGCACAGAGCAAATGATGCTCGAGATGGTTCAAGTTCGTATAGCAACAGGCGTGACCAGAGTGGTTTGAACGGCTGTTGTACTGCGATGTGGAAAGCAAATGGAAAAACTACCACATTATCACTTTTCCTGGATAGTCTCTTTCCAAAAACAGAAGATCGCATTAAGTGGAGAAACTGTTTTGGAAGAGACTGTGGACCTGTCGTCTGACAGATTACTGATGATGATGATGATATCTGTGTCAAAGAAGTCTGCGGCCTGTAAGCCTTCTATCAACTCCTTATTGTTCAAGTGCTATGATCCCAACTAGTTTCTTCAGGCAGGTGAACAGGCGTAGTCGCTCTGAGCGAGATCAGAGCTGTGAGGTGAGTGATCAAACAACTCCCAATTGAAAAGTTTCAGCAGTGCTCGAGTGCGAGCAGATGTATGCGGACGCGCATTGTTATGGAGCACTAAACCGGATGTCAGCATTCCATCCCTTTTTCTGAATGGCCCTAAGAAGTTTCTTTAATAGTTCGCAATATAAATGTGACTGAGTTCACAGGCGACAGACTTCTTCGACACAGGCATACAAAAACGTATTCCTCGATACGAGAAGTGTCTCAATTTCGGCAGTGACTACTCGAGAAGTAGCATAAGCATGTACGTATTTTTCAAATATAGTGATTTTTTCTCATTGTTTGTTTTGTTAACAGCTCACCGGTAGTTACATTACGAATATTCTTCGTATTAAAAATTGTAAATTTAGTAAGGACACGAAACGTTGGGGTTATGTCTGACGATATGTCTTACGCATATTTGATGTAGTCGGAGACAATAGGTCTCCTAGTCAAAATTATGCGAATCAGGGCTTAATCAGCTGTATCACCGATTAATTTATGGTTAATTCTTGTATCACCACCCACCACGAACACTTATTTGAAAGAAAGTAAGTACAGTAATTTCTTACTAGAACTTTTTCTTTAGTAGGGACATGATCCTGTTAACTATGCTACGGTATGTTTATCTGCTGGTGAGCTATGTGTAACAAATTCTGGCGCTCTTGGTAACACCGAATCAAATTTAAACAACGATTTGAATACTGCATATAATATGATGACTTGGAAGGTCCAGGGTACAGGAAATCTTGAAAATAGGAGCTCGACTTCAACTTCCCCATGCTACTAACGTCAGTATTCAATATAAAGGGTAAGAAACTAGGAAATGTAATAATAATCATTGGAGATTATGGGCCGCGCCATAGGTCAAGCGGTAAGTCGCTGGTTTCACACCGCAGCGGCCCGGGTTCGATCCCGGGTCTGGTCAAGTGAGATTTGTGGTGGACAAAGTGGCGCTGGGGCAGGATTTCTCCGAGTACTTGGGTTTCCCCTGCCAATCTTCATTCCAACAATTGCTCCACAATCACCCTCACCTATCATCTGGGGCTGGTACAATGGGCCAGAAGTGACCGCAGTACAAGGGACTTAGTCCAACCCCACTTACTTACTTACGTAATTACTCATGGAGCTGAGTCCTTCTGGAGGAGCCGCCAATTCTGCAGCTACTCAAGAATTTCCCAGCATTTTATGGAAACCGAAGGTTCACTACCGTGTTCACAATAGCTCTCCACTGGTCCCTATCCTGAGCCAGATCTATCCAATCCATACCATCCCATCCTATCTCTCTAAGATCCATTCTAATATTTTCCACCCACCTACGCCTTGGTCTTTCCTGTGGTCTCTTTCCCTTTGGTTTTCCCACCAATATCCCACCCCACTAGCATTAAAAAAATCATCGCCGATTATAGTCCGTTCTTGGCTATTTTATCGGTCACAAGGAATACATTAAATATAAAAATATAAGGAGTTTTTTCCTGTGGGTTATTTGACGATATTTTTTGTATCGAGACTATACGAGTATAATGTCGAATGGTAGGCAACTCTGGGCATGTGCTTCTAGGGTCTGAGGAAATCAGAAAATCCCACATAGTACCTACAGCATACATACCTAGAGCGTCACTGTTACAGCAACTTGCTCGATGTCCTGACGGGGATCCGAAATTATGATACCAGGTTCAAAACTTTCAAAAACATACGGACCCTAAACCGCGCGCTCACTGTGATCGGTTTCATCTTACTTTTTTCCCTTGGCACTACAGCCCCAGTGGGCCTAGGCCTACCTCCATGAACTTCTCCGTTCACTTTGGTTTTTCTAGATCTTACACATTCGGTAGGACTCCTTGGGCGGGTGATCAGCTCGTAACAAGGCCTCTACCTGTACACAAACACAGAAAAACGCACACACACAAACTAAACATCCATGCCCTAAGTGGGATTCGAACCCAGGATCCCGGTTTCCAAGCGAGCGAAGACAGTTTCATCTTATTTACATTCTTTATTTTGGATCGCTGACCGGGAAATTATTAAAAGTATGCTTTTTTCATTCTCGCGTCGGAAATATGATGATTGCTTCAGTAAGACTCGCCCAGCACAAGGCACGGACTGAGAGAATTTCCTTGCATCGCTTCTTCCTTTAAGCAGAATTGTTGTTCTGTCAAATGGAATATGTAATACATACAGCAGGGGTGAATGTTTGATGTTCTGCCAGCTCTCTAACAGCCCGGCCATTAATTTGATCCAGCATAAGCCTGACCTCATTTGAGGCCGCATGCTAGAACAGCACTCAAAATATATTTTGATGAGTCCTTTGCACATAGCATATAAAATTAAGGCATAGCGGGGAAGTAGTGCGTGTCTTTCCGTCTGTTCGTCCTCATGTTTCCTATCGAAACCCATTGAACGAACTGAGATGAAATTGCTACTAAGCGGTCTACGCTAAACTTTGTGAAACAATAAAATAATATTATTTTAGTAATAATTACATGCATTATGATGATTATAATCATAACACTAATATTGATCCATATTAGGATATTCAAATAAGGTGAGACGTATTTAATGAAACTGTCTCAGGATGGCCCAAATTATGGCCCGAAACAAGTAACGGTTATTAAATAAAACCAATGTAAACATTTAGATCGGTTTATTTTGAAATATCTGTTGTGTTGACGGTCAGGGCAACACAAACATGACGCACAATAAGATGCTGAACAATAAGGTAACTGTGAAACAAATTTAATTTTGAAGAATTCCGCCTTCTGGGATGCGGCGCCGTGTAGATATTTTGTTAATCGACGTTTCGGAGGAACTTATCGCTTCCTTCTTCCTTCTTCATGGTATAAGAAATCCGCGAGCTCACGCTGGTTCATCGTTCGCAAATACAGCAAAGGAATGTGCGTAACAATAAATTATTCGTTCTACTTGACTTTGCTTCAAACATTTTCAAGATTCCTGAAATATCTTCTGGAATTCCATGAAAGTAACGGCCAGATATAGGAAATGGGGCCCAAATATACAGAATCTACTCATATTACTATACAGAATGTCAAGTTTCTATTTCTAATAGAGAAACATATAGACACAGCGGAAAATACCGACTATTTCCTCTTTGTATAATAAATTGTACTTTTAGACAGACATGAAACTTCTGATATTTAACACCACGTGTCTGAATTGCGGCCATGTTCATTGCTATGCAATACAAGTTCCGCTTACTGCCCGGCGCCAACTGCCCTATCTATCGTGAAAATGAAAGACACATGTCTCGTGTTTTACGTTTCTAGAAGTCATGTTTCAGTCCAGGAAGGCAGTCACAAGATCAAATTAAGATTTGCAGATGCTCTTACTTACTTAACGGAGTTTAGTTCCCAAATAAAATATGAGTCTCCACTCAGGCAGAAATTTATACTTGTGTTGGAGAACACAAAATAGAAGTCAACTGTAACATTGGTGCCAATCGGCAGTCTACTGTGACGAACAGTGCTAGTGTCTTACCTGCCGGCAACTGTTGCTTGCAAAGATGATAACCACCACTCGTGTTTATCTTGTGTTTACTACTCATAAGAAGCATCTTCGAACTGAACTCAGGACTTGCTGCAAGACAGCCATTTTCATAATATTTTAGCTCATGTAGGTCACAGAATGATGGTGCAGACTGGTCCCAACTATTGCTCTCAAAATGGCTTCCCCTTTCCAACCTCGGTTGTCTCTCTTCATGCTGAAACAAAGAACACCACAAAAATAACAAACGCCTATTCTATGTTCATTCATCAGTGTTTATTTACACCTAAGTTGTTCTTGAATAATATTAGAATTAAGTTTCCTCACATGTCAGAAACTTTCACATTCAATTCATGTTCCTTATCTCCTCATCTCTATCTAAAAATATTAACATGAAATATAGAAACTATGTTTCATATGAGTTTGAAAATTGGTCCTTCTCATGTTACGAGAACAGAGGCTGAGGCTGTTTGGGAACAAAGTCATGAGAAGAGATGGAGTAACGGGGAGACGGAAAAATACATAATGATGAACATAACAATTTTGCACCTTTTGTTAGTTAATGTTAGGGAGATAAAATCACGGAGGATGAGATGGGCAGGATATGTGGCACGCATGGAAGGAAAACCTGAAGGATACAGACCATCTGGGAGATACACGCTGATATGGGAACGCAATATTAAGGTAAACATTAAATAAATGAGAAGGCCGCCCCATAGCTCAAGCGGTTAGTCGCTGGCTTCCCACCGCGGCGGCCCGGGTTCGATCCCTGGTCTGGTCAAGTGGGATTTGTGGTGGACAAAATTGCGCTGGTGCAGGTTTTCTCCGAGTACTTCGGTTTCCCCTGCCAATCTTCATTCCACCAATTGCTCCACAATCACCCTCACCTATCATCGGGGGCTGGTACAATAGGCCAGAAGTGGCCGCAGTACAAGGGACTTAGTCCCACCTCACTAGCAATAAAAAAATTAATGAGACATGAGGCTGTAGATTGGACTGAAATGACTCACAATGGCGTTTAGTGGCGAGCTGTTGTGAAAAGAGGAACGAATTCCTGGGTTCGCTATAAAGTGAGGGGAAATTTATTCACTAGCTAACGATCATCAGCTTCTCAAGTAGGGCTCTCTTCCATGCAGTGAGTGAGAAAGCAAGCATGGGTTTTACCCTCCACACCAATAAACCCGTTTATGGGCATTTTTCAATTTTTACTATAAATGTGATCAAAAACGAAAAGACGTAGGTCTCCGAAACAAAACTCCGTGACCTGTAGTCCGCAAGCGAACTCTACTGACCGAGCGACCGCCGCTTGTCGGCGAAGTCAGTGCCGACTTTTGCGGATAGACGGTGTCCCGTGGTCAGCGCAAAGGATTCCCACGGCCGTTAATCTCGGTTTTCTAGACTGGAGCCGCTACTTTTCCATTCAAGTATCTCCTCAATTATCCTCACGAGGCTGAGTGGACTTCTCATAAAATCTGGTAGCGCCGGGAATCGGACCCAGGACCTCTGGATCTCTCGCCAGGAACTCTGACCACTAGAACACAAAGGCAGTCGACCACATAGGGCTATACGTACGCTTTAATTATGAACAGCCGCTCTCTTTGAATCATGAAACATAAATCCTCTTGTCCAGGTTAGTCTTTGTGTTTGTGTTATGTCTGGCACATGATTGGTTCAGTGTGGTACTTGCAAAATAGCGAACGCAGAGATGGACGGAGGGTGGATTCGTTTTAAATAAGAAATATGTAATTTATGAAGAACCTCTGCAATACTCGATGGCTCCGTGGTATCCAGGTTCGGAACCCTTGTAATACTACTTAATGCAACTTAGACGTTAAATACTATAAGCTTTTTGAGTCATTATGGTGGATACCACATGCAAAATCGAATTTGATTTAGCTCGTCTGTACATTAACATTGCAATCTCTGTCTTCTGGTCGAAACTATAGAGTTCAATTTGTCGATATACCCATCGAACAATGTTTCAGCCATACGCGTATTTAACAAATAATTTATTATTTATTATATAATTTATTTATTATTATGGTTATAGTCGAGATGCCTTTACAGAATTTGATCAGTATTCGTTTAAAAATTCTTATTAGTATCTGTAAAAACCGTATTTTCGTTTAGATGAGTAACTACATTGAATAACATTACGAGTTCCGAGGTGTTTTGAACACGTAAAACTCTTCACAAATCCAACTATTTGTGTTTCTGCATATATCAGTTTCCTTACTCTGAAATCCTTTCAGGAAATCAGAATCTTCAAAACTTCAAAGTATCAGGCTTCTGGGGAGGAGTACTAGGCCCACTGTCAATATTGTCTCCGATAATGGAGATGTTAAGCTTTAGATGTGGTTTTGTACGATCGTGTATCGTAATGTTCTTTGTGCACGGTCAAGCAGTACATATTGGTAACGTCGTAATAGCAGGCGTAAATATTTTGTACAAAAGAACCTATTTATTGCCGTGTGTCTGAAAGAGAACTGCTCTCCTGGGTGGGTGTGTGGGGACATGCAAGAGTATACATTTAACTTCTACGTTCAAGAATAATCGAAAATTTTCAGGTTATTTGGTTAGATAAGCAAGAAAACTATATGAATTTGCTGGTTGTCTGTCTAACAATTCGCCAAGATTTCATGTTGCGATGTTGCAGGTCACAAAGCATATGTTATTCAAAATTAGATTTTCGTTAATAATTATAAAATTGCCATTCTGAATCGCGTTGTACTATGAATTCTTCCTAAAGGTTATGACATCGGCACTCATATAATTGCAAAATCAGGAAAAGGAACAATCAAACATCGTGAAAATCGGGATTTTCCCGGTTCTATTTTCTACTAAGAGTCCGGCTGTCCCAGGTGCGGTTTTTCGTGTTTCAGCTTCCTTTCCCGACAAATGCTTGGATAGAACCAAAACAGAACACAATCGTCCCATTCGTCGCTATGCAGTCTGCGAGTTGAGGATTCCTCGTCAAATAAACCAAGAAACAGACAATAATAGGAACAACAGTGCACTGAGACAGAGAGGAGGACAAAGAGCAGTGAGTTCTTGTTTCATTCTGAAAACCAAACGGAAAATAACTGATATAACAAGTTGTTAAGATTTGTCACTGTATTGCAAAACTGCTCCCCTAGGTTGCAAATTTAACGTTTCACAAGTTTCTGAATATTCTGTTCAAAATGTTTAAAAATTCATGAGGAATAAAATTTCTCACAGTGGTGTATCTTGAAGTTATGATTTTGTGGTATGTGGTGCTGTGGATATTTCGGAGGAACCTGCTACCTTAACCTTCAGGATAGAAGAGAGATTCCCCCCCCCCAAATGTCCGTACCTTTGCACTAAAGTGCTCTGCGCCACATCCCAAGAAGGCCGTCAACTCACACTTCACATGTAAAGGAAATAATGAGTAGATCTATTTTAGGTTGTAGGTAAAAATTCAGGTTATGTGTTGTCTACAACAATTTAGTTTCAGGAAACTTGTAAGGGAATGTAAAGCCTGACGTATCAGTTTCTGTTCAAATAATAAAACATAAGAGGAAACAATAAAGGAAAGGATAGACCATGAGAGGAGAGGAAGGAAAGAAAATAAAACGGGAATGAATAGGAAGACCTTAGGTCGTAGTCCTCTTCTTAAGACTTAGTCCCAGAGTTTGTATAGAACGAATGAAGAAAAATACAGAACAATCCCGGGATTCGGTCCAGACGCCGCATTTCTATAAATAAAAATACTGAAATAAACGCAAGTTATCAGGAAACGCGCCGAAGAAATCTCTAACCAAAGACATGAGGGAATGCCGCACAATATTAAGACAAATGGCCTGACATTCGCTTCACCGCGGTGACAGGAAGCTTGCGAGTGTAGTGCCTTGACATATGTTATGTGGCGAAGGATGGTGGCCCATTTTCAGATGTCTACTATCCCAGCATCTTGTGGAACTGAAACGGAAAACCGGAAGATTGCTATTGAGGTCAGCATGTGTCTTCGGGCGCGAGAACCAAGACATTGATTTGTGAGGAAAACAATGCACTTGGCAATTCTCTGAAGGAGGTTGGAACGCAAATGTGTAGGATTACTAATGGATCTACTTCATCTAAGTTGGCTGTCCTAAATGACTGTCATGCTGTTGAAAATTACATTTTTGTATTATGATATACTAATATTCTGAATGGCAATACTTTGTTCCGTGTTGCTTCCAAGGAATTTGCTCATTTTTATCTTTCATGACGAAATTAAAAAATTGTCAGTGCAGTACTAGTATTAAAACGTGATTACTATCCATTATAGGGTAGAGTAGAACAAGAAAAAATTTCCTTTTTGACAGTAGGAAGAATGCTACTATATTTTTGTTCGATGTCTGCTCCTGTCACAAACGAAATTAATTACTAGGCCTGCTACAATGTCCGGGCAGAATTAATGAAGATTAGTTTCCTACCGCAGGCCTACAGACTTCCAGTCCGACAAATGTCAGCGTTAAATTGCATGTCAGTACTGGAAGTGCAAATTTATAACAGAACGATGAAATGCGATTTATCTCATGCTTTCGCGTGTTGAGCTTGTTAGTAAAATATCTTCGAATCAAGGCAAAATATCTGTCGCTTGCAATACAATGAATGTGTTACGAACTAAGTATTACCGTATTTACGCATGTATAGGCCGCGTGCGTGTATAGGCCGCAGCACAATTTTCAGACAGAAATTATAGAAAAAATAATTTTCTTGGAATATTATTTCAGGAGTATTACACCCTGTATTACTAATTATGTATATAATTTTTTTT